GTCACCATTTTCATCAGGGGAGGGAATAAGATGATCATCGAGGAAGCAAAACGATCCCTTCACGACGCATTGTGTGTTATCCGAAACCTCATCCGGGACAACCGCGTAGTGTACGGTGGAGGCGCTGCAGAAATATCCTGTGCACTGGCCGTGAGCCAGGAGGCAGACAAATGTCCGACCTTGGAGCAGTACGCCATGCGCGCATTCGCAGATGCGCTCGAGGTCATCCCCATGGCCCTGGCCGAGAACAGTGGCATGAACCCCATCCAGACCATGACCGAGGTCCGCGCCCGGCAGGTGAAGGAGGCCAACCCCGCGCTCGGCATCGACTGTCTGCACAAGGGCACAAACCACATGAAGCAACAACATGTCATAGAAACCTTGATTGGCAAAAAGCAACAGATCTCTCTCGCTACACAAATGGTTAGAATGATTTTGAAGATTGACGATATCCGTAAGCCTGGAGAATCTGAAGAGTGAAGAGAATTTTAGAGTAAGATGCAGTAGCGAGACCCACTGCTTGATGAAGTGGATGGGCGTCTTGCGATGCAGTGACAGTTATTTATTGTTACGCCCTTTTCTGCCGCTCTGTGCTGTGTTAAAAATAGTTGTTTGGTAACCGTGGGATCACTCGTTGAGAGCTGTGTAATTGTAGAAATACTGTTCCACAGGCTTTTGTATTCATTAAAGTGATCTCTTTAAAAAAAAATACTAAGATTCCATCTCAGTCCAGACTGAATGTCTAACATCAAGAAGTCAGCCAATAACAAATGCTGGGGAGGCTGTGGGGAAAAGGGAGCGCCTCTCCACTGTTGGTGGGAGTGCAGACTGGCGGAATTACTGTGGAAATCAATGTAGAGAATCCTCAAAAAACTAGGATTAGAGATACCATTCAACCCAGCTATTCCCCTCCGGGGCATTTTTCCAGGAGAACTGAAAACCTCATACCACAGCGATATATGTGCACCCATGTTTATAGCAGCATAATTTGTTATAGCTAAATCTTTGGAAATAACCCAAATGTCCACAACTGAGGAATGAATAAAAATGATGTGGTACTTTTACATAATGGAGTATTATTCAGCTATAAAAAAGTTAAACTCGAGGCTTTTATAGGTAAATGGAAGCAACTGGAGACCACACTCCTAAGTGAAATAAACCTGTATATTCCACAAAACAATATCAGTCTCAAGTGTGGGTAATTCTTTGCTAAGCTTTTATACAAGGATTCATATTGAAGGCAGACTGTAGTCATCAGACCGGACCTTGGAGATACTAGAGGCTGGGGAATTTGCTATCATATATTTTCTCATTTCTATGATGCTTTAAAAGCTGGAGGGGCCGGGGAGATAGCTCAGTGGAATAAGCACTTGCCTGGCAAGCTCAAGGACCTGAGTTCAACTCCCCGTTCTGAAAAAAAAAAATTAAAAACTGGAAACAACTGTACATTGTGTAGAGATGTTTTATTGTTTAATTTCCAAGAATTTGTGGATATTTGTACTTTCATTTTTGACATTTAATATCATTTCACAGAACATATTGTATGATATTGTTTTGAATTTTTCTAATGCTGTATTGACTAGTACATGATTACTTTGATAACTGTTTTATATGTATTTGAAAAAATGAATTGCTTGATGTAGTACCCTAAATAAACATTCCATTAAGTCAGTTAAAAAGCCAAAACAAAACAGTGTAAACATATTGTCTCATTAGTCTAAGAACTTGAAAGAGTGAATAAAATCTGAAAGGTACAATATATACTGTGAAAAGGAAAGAATCTGCTAAGAGGGAAGAAATAACTGGGATGAGAAAAAGGACAAAAGAAAGAAAAGAAGGGAAAAAGATGTATTTATGTATATACGTAAGACAGCTTGATAATTGTACTGCTTTCTCTGATGGTCTACTGAAAGGAGCAGTTGCTGCTTAAATTTTTTTCTCTCCTTTTTCATTTTTTATAAGGTTTTTTTTTAAACCAATTTTGGGGGCCGGGGAGATGGCTCAGTAGAATAAGGGCTTCCCTGGCAAGTGCAAGGGCCTGAGTTCAATCCCCAGTTCCACCACAAAACAAAACAAAACAAAACAAAACAAAACAAAACAAAACAAAACAAAATACCAACAAAAAACCTCCCCAATTTTGTATGCTTATATCTGGTAATCTGAGCTAACAATTTGAGGACAACAATATGCACTATAACAACCATTGTTGAATTTCTATTTTCTTTAGTGAAATTCTGTATCATTTCTAATGTTCTTTTTACTCATTTTTATTCTCTTTACAAATAAAAAAAGAAAGAAAAATGACTTGACTGGAGTCTCACAAATAGAAACAATCTTAGAGCTGGCTAGAGATGTTTGTGTTCTGATCCATTAATATGCAAGTACTCTTAAATTCTTGGAGGTGTTTAATAAACACTCTGAAAGGGACCCTTAGAAACAGGGCCACGCTTGCCCCAGAGTACAGATGATTTCAACATCTCACCAACACAACTTAAAGGCTCCAAAAGAACAAGCTGAAATTCAAGTAACTTGCCTACATATGAGAAAACAAAGAATCACTTTCTGTACAACAATATCCAGTACTTAAAATAAAATTCATAATGTTTAGCTTCTAATAAGAAATACTAGATTTATTAGTATGCAAAGAAATAGGGAATGTGACACATAGCTGTTTTAGGATCTTCATATTTGCTCTTCTCTCAGCCTAATTCTCTTTTCACCAGACATCTATACAGTAACTCAGTCTATTTAATGTCTGTTAGAATATCATCTCTTTACAGAAGTCTTTTCTGACATACAAAATTGTCACTATCTGCCAATCCCACTTCCCTCATTCTGTTTTTTAAATTCATGGTATTTGGTCATAGCCTATATGCTTAAAAATATTATTTTTCTTTTTGATATGTTTTTATCTTGGTATGTACATAAGTATATACTTATTAATGGGAAAGGGAATGAAAAATTTAAGATGTTTATGTACATGTGCCATCTACTTATAATTAATGTAATCATTATATACTACAAACATGAGTTAATAAGAATAAAAGTAAATACATATTAAATGATTGAATGAATGAATGAATGAAATGAATGAATGAATGAATATGGTAAAGTATTTTTGTTCTTTTTAAAATAATTTTATTGAGAAACAAATAGCAATGAGACAGTTTCAAAACCGATTAGTAGGATAGTTTCAATAAGTAATACATTGCATATTGTTGTCATAGTAGTTATTCATTGTACAAGATACAGACATGATATCCTGCCCAGAAACAGTGTTATAACAAATCTTTCTATTCATTGAATTAAGAGAAAGTAGCTGTATATCTATCCTAACTCTTTGGAATATACAGATACAAAATGGTTGTTCATTTGTATCCCCTTTTTTTGTTTAGTTTTGTCAGAGATGGGTATTCTATTGTTATTTAAATATTGTAGGTGCATGAATTCAGCAAAACATTCCAATATAGTCCAGTAGTCCATAATAGTAGTGGGTTTTCTGTAGGACTGGCGATGTCAGAAGTTGTTGACTTGAGCCTTTTACAAAGGATCTACAAACTGTGGTTCAGGGTTTCAGGATAAATCATGAGGGGATTGATTTGACTGCCCTTATCAGATACAAAAGTTACATTTCTTGTTATATAAATCTTGCTTTATTTTGGTCTTAACCATCTGGCAGAAAAGTATAAAAACGAAGCATAAAGCGTAAAGCCATATTAGTATTTTTGTTCTTTTAGCTAAAGCTTAACATGGTTACCTAAATTTCTGGTGAATGACACTGACATCATAAATAAAGGTATGCATCAAAAATAGATTGCATGTATTATCATACATTATCATATGGTCCCATAAGATTATATTGGGTCTGAAAAATTCTTATCGGTAATCTCACATTTATGGTAATATTAAGTGAAATACATTACCTATGTGTTTGTGATGGCGCTGGTGTAAACAAATTTAAGGTCTTCTAATTGCATTAAAGTATAGCACATACAATTATGGGCAATGCATAGTACTTGATAATGATAATAAACAATTGTGGTACTGGCTTATGTATTATCATAGTGCACATTGAACTGCTACTTTAGAGTGCATTCATTTGACTTATAAAAAAAAGTTATTTTTTAAAAAAAATTTTATTTGTGTGTGTGTGTGTGTGTGTGTGTGTGTGTGGCCAGCTCAGCCCACCAGGGGGCGGGGCTGGCTGGCCTGTGGTGCTGGGGGTTTGAACCGCGGTCCCTGTGCTTTGCCAAGCTTGTTCTAAGTAGGTGCTTTAGAGCACTGAGCCATCTCACCAGCCCTAAAAAAAAGTTATTTGTAAATTAACACCAGGCAGGTCCATCAGGAGAGATTCTGGAAGGCTTTGCTGTGACAGGGGATGCAGTTCTGCTGCGGCTGCTCGCGGCGGCCGCATGGGACCGGAAGTGGAGTGGAAGATGGTGAGGATCCCGGACCAGCGCAGGTCCAGGCTAATGTGTGCGCTGTGCCTCAGCTTTTCATACAACACTTTAAAAAATTCAAAAAAAATCTCAGTGAATGGCACACAGAGTAAGGATATAAAGAAAAAAAAATTTTTTTTTTTTTTTTGGCGGAATCGGGGATTGAACTCACGCCTTTGCGCTTGCCAGGGAAGTGCTTATTCCACTGAGCCATCTTCCTGGCCCCAAGAAAGGAAAATTTGGAAAACTATACAAAGTATTTTTGTTTTAAGCTAAGTGGTATTTCAGCTGAGTCAGAGAACTAAAAAAATTTAAAAGTTTATAAAGTTGAAATATTACAGTTATCTAAGGTCAATTTATTATTGAAGACCAAATCTTTTTAATATAAATTTAGGCTAGATGAAGTCTACAGTGACTATAAAGTCTGCAGTTGGGCACAGCAATGTCCTCGACCTTAAAATCACTTTCTCCTCACTGCCACTTACCTAGAGCCACTTCTGGTGCTGAGGCCTACTCACTGGCAGAGGCCTGAGCAGACAGACCAGCCTAAAACCCTTCACAGGCATACTTTACTGTTGCTTTCTATCTTTAAATACAGAAATATTGACCCTTGTATTACGCTTGCCCACAGTATTCACTATTGTAACCCACTGTACAGGCTGACAGCCTAGTAGCAATAGGATAGAGCATGTAGCCCCAGTGCGTAGTAGGCTACACTATGTAGTCTGTGGAAATACTCACACAAACAATCATTAATACATTTCTCAGACAATGTCCCTGTCTTTTTTTTTTTTTTTTTTTTTTGGCAGAACTGGGGATCGAACTCAGGCCCTTGCACTTGCCAGGGAAGCGCTTATTCCACTGAGCCATCTCCCCGGCCCCTTGTCCCTGTCTTTAAGTGATGCATGACTCTGTGTGAGTGCGTGTGTAGGTGTGTGTATGTGAGTGTGTGTGACTAGTCTGTTTAATCCCATTATTATCTTTATTTCTAGGTTCCATTTATTTATTCAACAAACTA